TATATATAAAAAAAAAGCAAATTAAGTGATAAAGATAAAGAAAAAGATGCACCATTTCATAACCGCCGCTCATTTTTCCTCTCTTCCGGGGACAAAACTAATTCTAGCAAGCACCCACCCATTGACGTTTCACTTTCACTAGTACTGTTAGAAAGTTAGACACACGAAAACAAGAAGTCAGCTGGATTCGAAAATCCAACTTTGGGAGGGATAGGGCCTAAGGGGGTCATTGTCCTTGATTTTCCCTACCCTTAATTTCAAAATTCAAGTCTCATAAATAAATCATTCCCAGGACCAGTTCATTGCATGAGATATGTATCACTATCACAATGAAGTACGAATAGTTATGCGGTCCACTTCGCTCGTACTATGCTCTCTCCACCAAGCCTTCAACTTGCAGATTGTTGTGACGTTTAATTGTTGCCTTAATGTGCAATTAAAGGGGAAGAAAAATCGTCATGATTGCTATGTTGTTATATTTTATTATAAACTTTTCTTTTGATAAATGGTAGTTGACAAATACTCGTCACTACATAGATTCGAGTGCCACGATTAAAAAGCACTAAGAAAAAGGAACAGGAAAAAGATTGATATTTTATAATAGATATCCACTTAATTTACATTAAAATTATCATATAAATGTACGAAGTTACTAATATTTTCATCCTTACATTGAGACGATTTTTGTATATAAAATTAATTTTTAGAAACATTCAAACATGAGACGTCTCTTAATATTACATAATAAATAGGATATATAGTACTCATAAATACAATAAATATTTGATATATTTTGAGACCTTTTATAGAAATATAAAATCGTAGGACTTTTTTTTGGGGTGTGACTTATTTAATACAAAAAAATAATCGAAAGATGTGTATCTATTTTGATAATTGCCATATAATTACTGAAAAACAATTGACCTATTTCACAGCTAATTATATGATTTTGATAATTGAGAGTAGACCCATAAAAGAAAAGCTACAGGCTCCATTTGTGTTGGCCATTTTTTTAAAAATAAGTTTTTTAAATATAATACTATAGTAAAAAATATCTCATCCATACAATATATCAAATATTTCAAAAAAAATTATAGTAAAAATTTTTCATATACACTGCTACAATTAAATTTTTCAAAAAATTTCTAAAAAACAACTAATCCAAACGGAGCAACAAATTATTTAGGACCAATTTCAATTATTTCCTTGGAATCTTCTATAAAATTTAGTTAAATTCCTTTGACAAAAATATGATACACTTTAAAGAATAAAAGCTGGCATCTAAAGCAAGCACCCTCCCTAGTCCCACATGAGACTAGATCCCCCCATCCCCCTGTCTTTCTCTCCAACACCGCGTTTTTTTATTCCTTCCTTGTCTTTGAAAAGTGATGAAAGAAATTTCATACCAAAAAAGAATAAGACCAATTTTTTTTTTTTTGACTGCAAAAATGTCAAATACATTGCCTTAATTTTCCATAAAATCGAATTATAAACTTCATGTTTTTGACTTGTGAGATTGTTAAAAGTATAGCTTAAATCGTCAAAAGAGACAACTCTTTGAAAAGGTCTTTTTGTTTGAAAGAGTTTTACTATTGCTTGCAAATCCCGTTTGACGTCGAATGTGAAATAACCGAATATTGCGTCAAAGCCACCATAAGACTTTTTCCCTTATGAGAGTAGCCGGCAATATTCCAAATTCCAGCTATTCTTTTATTCCCCTGCCACGTGGTCCTAAATTCCCGGGATTGTCTCTATAATGACGTGGCAACTTTTAACTGCGTCAGCTAGAATCTCTTTTCTGTCCATTACCGCCTTAGTAACTTCCTTTCACTGTGGCTTGGCTTACCAGCTGTCTGCTGAATATGGCTGCCCAACGGAACATCTGAAAAAATATTATAAAAAGTACTCTGAAAAATAGTCTAAATTTTTTTTAATATTTAAAAAATATCTCAAAATATATTCTAAAAACTTTTCTACTCTTGAATATCCCAAAATATTTTCTAAAATATACTATCAAAACTCTGTTGCAGTAAAATTTTTCAAAACACCCCAAAAAACAGCTAATCCAAACGGATCCAAAGGTTTTTCAATTATAGAAAAATGCTAAAATTGTTCCTTATACTTTTTCATAAATCTTTTTGGAGTTGATATGTACCTTGTATTTTTTTTTTTTTTTTGCAATTAGGGTTTAGGATATGATCTTGTATATGAAATTCCACTCATAACACTTTTGGTATTCAAGTCATTGAGTCTGTCTAGATTGAGGATTATTTGGCAATTTTTTTTTAAATACGGTAACACTTTTTATGATATAATATCAGATTTTTATGATTTAAACAATATCTCATAAAGGAAATTGATATTTATCTGACCTCACAACACCACCATAACAAATTTATTTATGTGGATTTGACATTGTTCCTAATCTAGAATTGCACATTTCTTTTAAATGCTGTTTAATTCGCGTGTCAAGTTTTTAATATGGAACCTCTGTAAATGGATTTAATAGGCATTCATCAGTCCACATGCCATTCAATTTCACATTTCCAGATTTATTGTCCTTTCTTATTTTGAATCATTCTTCCAATTTAACCTGGAGCTTTATTTGTGAGTCCCCATTTAAAACCCATTAGACAATACAGTCCAATATCTTTAGGAGGGATAATGTTATAACTGAAAAGTGTGTTTGGGTTGTAAATTATTTGAGATATTTTTTATGTAACACTTTTGGTGATGTGATGTATGTGAGATAAAAAGGTATTTGGAAAGATAAAAATGTGTATTGAAAATTGTAATGATGATATAAACAAATATATTGAGACAGATAATCTCCTGTCCAAACACACTAGGGTAAATTAATCCAAACTTTGTTGTCCTACGTTTTAGTCACCTGTCTCCCATGTTATTTTATCCCATAAAAAACATGGGATTAATTTGGAATGTATGATTCCATACATAGAATACAACTAAGCAGGGAATGAAACAAAAGATTCTTATACTTTTCAACTAATCGTAGATCCATTACATTTACACTAAACATTTTTGTACATATCAGAATTGCGCTAAAAACTACTCAAACTTTTGACTAATCATTTTTAAGAATTGTACTTCAATTTTTAAAAAATTTGTAAAATTTCTAATGCATATCACAAGCTCTATAGATTTTTGCATATAAAATTCATAAGGTGACCAGAATTTATTTGATTAATGTCTCATAAACAAGGATAGAGTTAAAGTTGGTATTCATCTATTATTATGCTTGAAAATTATAGAAATTTTATTTGTATTTTTAGTTGCGTAAATTTCAAACACATCCATTTTATTAGTGTATGAATATAAAATCGTAATTTGGGCGAATTCACATCTTTGCGCTAAACTTTTGACCATACTTTTAAAAAGAAAGCATAATATGTGCACATATAATATTTTTTTGGTACACGTCTTATATTTCACTAACTATGATCTAAGTTAGTTTAGACTTAATCATAGGGTTGGTCCAGTAGTCAAGGGAGGACTCTTAGAATTCTCCCTTGTTATTACAAGTAGGATCGAAATTTTGCCTTAATTGAACAAGATTGATAGGATCGTTTGAATTGTAGGATTTTACGATTCTGATACAATCTTATTATTTTTAAAACATTAGGTAATAATTTTAATAGTTTTACCATATCTTTGTGTGAAAAACTTGAATTGAGTGCTGTTTGTTGCAAACTAGATTCAAATGCTTTTAAATCCATGGAAATAACTCACTCCAATTCCAAACCTATAAAATTCTATGAATCATTAAATTTGAGTCATATGTTTCACTAGAGGGGAGAGATGATTTTTGATATGGGTTATCACTTAGGGCTAGTGTTTGGTGTGTTTATTGTGATAAATTAATATTTAGAAATGAATTAATTACTTTTGCTATGTCTAAGTGGTAGGCTTAAATTTGTAACTCAAATACATGTATTTTTAGCATAAATTTCTATTCTCAAAATTTTCTTTAATTATTTGCTTATTGTATACCGATCTTTTAGTCAATTAAAATATATTTGAAATATTTTGTTGTATACATATAACATTTAATTATCCTGTTGTAAAAACAATGATGTAATAATAGATCAATAAATCATAGTTAACTAAATGTATGGTGTTTAACTATTTTAATAATAATTAGATAGATGATTTATACACATATAAAGTCAACTTTTCGAAGTAAATTGTCCCGTCCTATTTGGATTTTGAACCAGAAAGAAAGAGTTGTTTAGTTTAATTAAAATAGATCGATGCAGTCCCGAATTTTTATATAATTTTCAAACTGTTCCAAATACTTTATATAACACAATTTTAACCTTAATTAACAATATCATTGTATTGATTGCACATGAATTACATTATTTGTTACCATATATGAATTGCAAACTTAAAAATCATAAAAATGACAAATTTTTTACTTGACATTTTTTTTTTTAGCAACTTACGATCTGATCCTGCAAACAAAAAAAAAAAGAAATAATCTTACGCAGGATCCCGATCTTGAAAATCTTGCTCAACACAAGACAGACAATAGGTGAGACTCCCAAAACACGTTTTTTTTACTGACATTTTTTTTAATCTATATTGCACTTTTCTCTAGACCACATGGAAGTATTTAAGTACATTTATGGCATTATGTGCCTTAATACTAAACCACATGGGATGGGAGCACAGTAGATAAGTGCTCTCTGTCTCAAAAACTCAAGCTGCTGCTTTAACTCTCATTTCATTATCATCATAAATCTAAATCGGAAAAATGCATTTATCTTTCTAATTGATATATATATATATATATATATATATATATATTTACTTTCTCCTTTCCTGAAAGGCTGGTCGAATGGATTTTTCTGGACAAAAGGCAAAAGTAAAAGTCCGATGGATTAAAAAGAGAAGAATATTCAATCTGTAGCCCCTTTATTGGATCGGTGCACAAAACTGTTTGTACTGGATAACTCCCCTGTATTTTAAAACTCTCATAGTCAATTTCTTTGATAATCCCACGGTATCTCTCCCTCTCTCTCTTCTCTCTCTCATAAGCAGCACTTTTGAAGTCGCCGGCCAAATTCGTCTCTTCTCTGCTCCTCGCCGGTGACCGCAGATCACGGGGCGGGTCGGCTCCTCCCTTCCTTCGCTTCTCTACGAACTCCAAATTTGCATTCAATACTATACACTATAAAATTCATTTTGTTTATTCAATTCTATTTTACTGTGATTTATTTTATTGTATTCGCACGCGTACTTTAACATGCAAATTGCCTCTCTCTCTCTCTTTGTTGCTAATATATAATGGAGAAAAATTTACACGCAGTGGTTTAGAGTCTAAACTAGTTCTCTTGCTTTTTTTAAATTTCTTTTGTGCATTTTTTTGGTTAATTGAATTGTTTGAGAATTTCAAATTTTGTTGAATGCAGATCTTAATTGTTCGAAACGATCGTCAAATTGATCGGCGATCATCTCACCGGAGAGTTCTGGAAGAGTTGTTTACATTCTCCAGCAGTTAATTCTTTGGTTTCTGCATTGAAGAGAGTCGTTTTTTCTTTTTGGAATTTTGAGAAGATCAGTTTATATTTATGAATCTTGGACTAGATGAAATATAATGATGATTGATCGAGTCACATAAATTTGGTTGAGAGTTAGCGGAAGTGAAGATTCCTCTACTGTAGCTTCCCGGAGTTCTCTCGGTGTGTGTGTGTGTGTGTTTTCTTTCTTCTTTTGGTTGTTTTGCAAATTTTGGTGAGTGGGAGCTGAGCATAAAATTAGCTGATTCAATTGATAAACGAAGGAAATAGAAAAGAACAAGAGAGGGGGAACATACGAATTGTGAGGTTTAGTAGGGATGTCAAAGGTGGTGTACGAGGGTTGGATGGTGCGGTATGGGAGGAGGAAGATAGGAAGATCCTTTATTCATATGCGGTATTTTGTCCTCGAGCATCGGTTGCTTGCCTATTACAAGAAGAAACCACAGGACAATGTGGTAAAAGCTCTGACTGCATATCTGCATTTTCTAATTTGTAATTAACGATGCTATACATTAATTTTTGAATGCTTGATTTTTTTTTGGAGCTAGTTAATTTGAATTGTCGAACATTTTTAAATTGATTTGTTTTGTAAATGTGTAAACTGCTTGTTTCCTGTGCTTTAGTAGATGATGTAGGCTGTAGGCTCTTCAGTTTGCTGTTTGAAAATCTTGATCACTGCTTATGAAATGCTGTAAGTGAAAAAGTTGATACTTGAGTTTTGATATGAATAGGTTCCACTCAAGACTCTCCTTATAGATGGAAATTGTAGGGTGGAAGATCGGGGCTTGAAGACTCACCATGGACATGTGAGTTGCACATATTTTCTTCTGTTTTGTTGGTTAATTGCCAGTAGTAGCTTTGTTTGAAAAATAGAGTATAGAATAAGCAAGTTTGCATCCATGTGTCCAAGTTACATCATAGCATCCCTGCATCACAATTGGCTGTTGCAGCTATTTCGTAGTGATTGAATCCTGCAATATTTTATTTTTAATGAGGTCTGAAAGATGCAAAGACAATTTTCTTAACTTAGCACAGTGCCTCAAAGGTGGACTGTGAGCTGTTTATTTATTTTTATTTTCTTATTTTCTATAATTTTTATGTGAGGATATTCAGACCAATATTCAGAGTCCTAGCACTGTGCCTGGAACAGATCATGCAAAAAAAGAAAAAGATAAAAATTACTCATTCTATATGATCATAAAGGTAGCATTAAGAAGATGATAGAAGAGAACTATTGATTTAATGGTTTGAGCTTTCAGCAAATAATTTTTAGATGCTCTAGTTATCAGGAATGATTTGGTTAAAGGTTAGTTTAAGGTTTCCTATTACTGGATTATGTATCCTTTCCATGCAGACAGAGTATGCTGTCTTTTTGTATTGAGCATAACGCTACCTAAGCCATAATTTGAAATTAGAGGTAGAGGAAGAGAAAAGAATAGGAGGAAGGTTACAGATAACATGGAAAAAAAGTGTAATTTAAAAGATTTTACCCAAGCCATAATTTGAGTTGAAAGAGATTCATATAGTTTACACTAATTCTTGGTAAAATTGGATAGGTCACTCAACTTTATTGAATTTGGATCAGAATTATTAATGAAGCATGGTGCAGTATGTATTAATCTTGGTCCCATGGGTTGCAAATCTTGGACTACCTTGGTTTATTAGTTGTGATACTTGACATATGTGCCTTAAGTTTTCTGCGGATTCTGACCATGTCTTGTTGCAATTAATCAGAAAAGACAAGTTGAATCAAAATGTGTTCCAATTTCAGTGTCAATAGAGTACTTGGAATGGTTGTATCCATTATTGATAGGTCTGGAGGCCCATACATTGCTCCATAATATGAAGACCACCACCTGAAATCCACCCATATTCAAGCCTAATTAGATCAAATCTGGAAAGTCATTGCACAAAGAATTTTCTCCTTGGTCAATGGACTAGAATACATAGCATGCAATTTCCCTGCACTTAGAGCTTCCAACTGTGGGCTCTTTATGTAACGTTGAAACTTGAAAGATTGAATTTTTAGAACTGTCCATTCTTAGCTTTTGGATTAATCCATGATATTTTGCTGTTCAATTGATTTGGCATGTTCATTGATGTTTGACTGCCTATGTTTACTTCAATGTTGAAGCTTCTGTTGTTCTATATTTCCATGCAATCTAAGCTTGATCCCTCCATTCCTTCTCCCTTATCTACCAAAAGGAGGAAGATTATATCATACATGTACACTGATCAAAGTTGGCATGTAAAAAGTGGCCAAATAATAGAATGTGTATGCTGTCCAAATTGAGCAATTTTGCTTAGTGCTAGAAGCAATTAGAACATAATTTTATGTTAGAGTATACCTTCTGGGCATAAAACGTCACTTCATGTTTTCTTTTGATGGTTGTTTATCTTATGGCTTTCCTTGTCTTTGCAGATGGTTTATGTGTTGTCCATCTACAACAAGAAAGAGAAGTACCATAGACTGACGGTGAGTTTTATTTTTAGTTGTTATATGTGTTACTCATTCTTTATTAAATTACTCAAAATGCCATATTAACATGAAAGCTGATGGAATAAAAATTCTGTTGATGCTTGAACTCATTGGTGAACCTAGAATTCAGATGATGAACTAATGAGATACGGGGAAGATTATGCGATAGTGTAGCAAAGTAATTTTTTAAGAAATAGGAGGCAAGATTGATGGAAAGGAAGTTGAAAATGCTGTTCAAACCAATTAATGCTTGCATTAATCTTGGGGTAAGGTAGATATCATGAAACTTTAACAGTATAAGTGTGATGAAAAATGTAAATGGTTTTTTTGGGGTATTCCTCTGAAAATTTTATTGACGCAAAGGATGATAATTCATATATACTTGTACCGGGATGGAAGTATATAGATGTTTGGTGTTGGCAAAGATCTTTGGCTTATGATTTCGCAGAATGTACTTGATTGCTGCACATGTGGAAGTAATGGCAGTAGTGGTGATTGAGGTAGGATTCTACTACACTGTGAAACACCATGATTTATCTTATATTGGCTATCTGGTTACTGTTTGAACCATTTAGAACAGCTTTGTTATGTAATTCTGGCAAGGTTGGCTCAAGGATTGCGAGTTGGTGGTTGGAATATTTTAGGGTTTCGGTTCATATGGTTAGGTTAATCTTAGAGTGAAAATTATTGAGAACCAAGTCTTATAGTAGTTGTTTATGAAACCTGTTCAAACTTCCTCTGGAATCTTCTATCAACAGGCTAGGCATGAGCTGTGACCGATTACGATGATTCCTAGAAAAGGTGCTTGGGCTTGCAGGTGGATACTGTGATACTGTGGTACCTTAGCATAATTGTCTCATGTCAGCTACTTGGGGGATCTGTTACAAATCAGACTTTTCAATCATATACTTTGACGTATTGGTTTAAGCGTTTGGTTCACCTAATTTAGGTTGATAAATGCTGTTGAGTTTGGTTTTACACATCAGAATTTAGTCTTTTGGTGAACGGAGAGCGCAAGACTTAAAAAGGCTTATAATTATTATTCACATGCTTCTAAAGATCAAGGTCATTAAACATGGATATATGCAGATATAGAATGTTTTCATATGGAAAGTCTGCAGTGGAATAGGCTAATGGTAATATTGAGGAGAAGAGCTTGAGTCAGGAGTGTGAGACCAAGTATACTGGCAAAGATTCTAATCTAAAAGCTGAAAAGTTAGAAATGGGGTATTTGGTTTGTAACTTCAGTAATAGCTGAAATTTTATTGAAGACAGATTATGTGGTATCTTTGATTTGCTTCCTGGATTTTTCTGAGTGAAGCTCTAAAAGTAATGTTTATCATGGTGGACAGTCATTTGCCTACTAGAAAAGGAGGGTAAAGGCTGGGGTATTGTCAAAGAATGGAAATTGATTTCAGAAGCGAAAGAGAGTGCAACTATAAAAGAATGGCCCATGTGCAGGCGATAGATTTGCTATTTATATGCAGAAGAGTTTCAGCAATGTAACAGAATATGTCTCTGCAAGAGCAGTAGAAACTTCCCTCAAAGGAAGGAATCCATCACCTCTATCCATCTTTTTGCTTAACACAGTAAAGTGAAGACATATAGAAACTGATCTGCATAGCTTAGAAATGTGATTGAGCTCTTTCTGGAGAGTTTAGAAATCTGGCTGACAAGGTATTTGCTGAATTGTGTAACCTGATCACTTCTTGAAGCACTTGGAGATGGATTTATTTTATTAATTAGAATGATGAAGAGATGACGAACAGATTGAATTGAATGGTTGGATGAGGTTTGAGCTGCTGTAACCTTTAGGGTGGTAGGGTGTTGTAATTTTGTTTATCCATACAGTCTGAGGTGTCTTTCTTGTTTGATGAAGAAAGCTGTCCTAGTTTTGATTGTAGAAACGGGAGATGAACATTTTTGAATTATGGAAAAGTATTATCTGATCAGTGAATGGCACATAAAAGATGTTTCTTTTGATAGTGAGTTTCATCAAACAACAATTTTAATAAACTAAGACAATTTCATGAACATGGCCCTGTATCATAAGGTATATATGGGGAGAGAGTTTCAGTTTGGAATTGCCCAGGTGAATTTCATTCACTCCTGTAGTACTGTCTCCGGAAGAGATTTAGCATTTTGTTATTTGACATTGGAAATTGGGCATGGAAAAGAGGTCTAAATCTTCAAAGGATGAAAACCCCAAACCCTCAGCTGATTTTGTATTAAAGTATAATAAGTCTGAGATGTCCACTGCAACATTTCCTGCTTGAAAGGATTTTTGAAGCGATGATTGTGGGTGGGACTTGGGAATCCAGTGGGAAAATGAAGGCGGTGGAGACTCTTGGATTATACTGTGTCCGCAAACATCAAAAAATAATATGGCTTTGACACTTTTTGTTTTAGGGCATAGTTTTAGCTTTCTTTTTTACCATCTTCTTAATTGCAGCACTATAATGATTTAAACGCCAGCTTTTGGTGCTTCTCACCTTTTCAGCATCACCACTCTTGCCTATATGCTGATTCATGTTAACCATGTGTATTCTTCCAGATGGCAGCTTTCAACATTCAGGAAGCTCTTATTTGGAAAGAAAAGATTGAATCTGTTATCGATCAGGTTGATTTCTTATCTGTTAACTTTTCCTTCCATAAATTCCTACTATTGGATTTCTGCGGTGTTACAGATACAAAATGCATGACCACATTTTGAAAAGTGCCTAGTATTTGATGTCTAAAACTTGGTGGTTATTTATTGTTTGTCTATTTGTTGATAAGCTTTGAGGGCGATGATTTATTTTACATAATGGCATATACCATATACTATGTTGTGCTTTTTGCTTGGATGTACATAGAACTGATTATGAACTGATAAATTGCAGCATCAAGAGTCACAAGCTGTTAATGGTAATAAGTACCAGTCTTTTGAATACAAATCTGGAATGGATAATGGGAGGAAATCCTCATCATCTGATCATGAAAGTCAGTAAGTATTACATTCACTTTATTTTGTACCCACTTTGTGAAATGCTGTGTTAGTAGTGGTGAAACTTTAGTTTTGAGGAATGATGCAATTTTTATCATTGCTCAACTTTGATATTTCTACCTTCGTTGATTCTGTTCTTCAGGCTTATTTTTAATGGTTTAAACTGAGCAGAACAATTTTGGGAAAAGCGCTTCTCTGAGGTGTCCTCAACTAATTTGGGCTTCTGCTTTTTGCTTATCTTATGCTGACAAAAAAAAATAAGATTCTGAGAAGCAACCTGAAGGTGCTCTTGGAAACAGCTTTTAGCTTTTTAAAACATTTAAAGCAAATACATTCTTCCAATTCTGCAAGAGATAGGTAATGAGCCTAAAAAATCCACAAGTTTCGCAGAATATTTAGTTGATTTGGGTTACATCCTCCCCTTAGAATGTGGCTTTACAGAATAAGAGCAAACAAGGTGGTGAGGAGGTTAAGTGGAGACATAAAGTAACTTTACTAGTAGCATTAGTGCAATACGTATCTTCTGTATTTTAAAACTATTCATTGGTGGTGTTATTCTTGTTCAAATGCTGGTTATGCTTCTGTTCAGTGTAGTCAGGTCCTTAATTTATTCTGAACTTTCAATTTAAGGTTGTTTTTGTACATAATAAATTCTAATCAATGCAGGTTCAGTGCTGCCGAGGATGAAGATGATAGCCGTCATAGTTTAATGCGGAGAACAACCATTGGAAATGGTTTTTTTTTTCTTGATTTCCATTTTTGTAATGGCTTCATTTCTTTTCTTATGTAACTGAATTTTCACTTTCCTTTTGATGGGCAGGTCCTCCTGAATCTGTATTTGATTGGACAAAGGAATTAGATACAGACTTGGCAAATCAAAGCACGAACAATCAGGCATTTTCTAGAAAGCACTGGCGCCTGCTCCAATGCCAAAATGGTGGGTTAGTTTGCTAGTCTTGAATTGTTTTTTCTTTATGTAAGTGGAGCAATACTAGTTTTATTTGAAGCTTAGCTTAGGATGTGAAAGAAGTTGAAATTTGATGAGGTGCATAACCTCTTCATTATGTGGATGACTGCAGGACTTCGCATCTTTGAGGAGCTTATTGAAGTAGATTTTCTTGTACGTTTTTGCATACTGCTAAAAAGATTTGTCTTATGTGTTGAAACTTGAATGTTTGAGGAAAAATCCTCAACTCAAAAGTCCTGTTTCTGTAGCCAAAGAGCTGTAGTAGAGCAATGAAGGCCGTTGGAGTTGTGGAAGCTACATGTGAAGAAATATTTGAGCTTGTAATGAGCATGGATGCAACGCGTTTTGAGTAAGTGCTATTTCTTGTGGACCTGCATTAAGCACTATTCCGGTACTTTTTCTTGCAATTTGGCATGATTCTTTTAGTGGCTAATGTAGATTTAACCTTATTGCCCTCTCCCACAGCTACCAAGTTATTTATTTAGAGAGTAGGATATGCTGTTATAGTTCTGCATCACTTGGACTTGGTTTGTTTTCTGTTGTTGATCATATTCCATGTATAGCAGTGGAGTCCTTGCACGTGTATGTATGCGGCTTGCTTTTCATCTTCTCGATGCCCATGTATGTACTTTTTAAGCTCCTGCCGATGGATCATGGTGCCTCCATGATTTGGAATTATTGCATTTAGATGTCCCTCCCAGTGTTTAATGTTAGAAATTGGCAACCATATGATTCTGTACTGTAGAGCCACCATATTTTTCCTATTATTAGGAATACGCTCCACTAGTCTCTAAACATTACAAGTTAACTACAGACTGACAGGTATTGTAGCAGGAAAAGGATGAGGATAGATTTGAAGTATTTGTCGAACCTATTGTCTGGAGAAAATTAAGATACCTTCGAAACTAAAGAAAGGGAAGCCTTGGATAGAGAATTGAAAGATATAGTGATGGGATATATCTCTGTTTAACATTAATGTCAGCGCATGTTTGATGAGATTAGAGAATGCTATAAGCCTTATGGGTGACATGATTACTAAAGATAGAAATAGATTTTGACCTGGCGAAACAAATTTTGTTAGGGATGAAAGAATGTTTTATGCACCCAGGTAGAGGGTAATCAAGTTGAGCTTGAGTTTCACCATGCTTGAGCTCAAACTTGACTCCTGATAGCGTTGCTAGCTCAAGCTTGACTTGACACTTACTTGAGCTCGACCTCAAGCTTGAGTTGAGCATCCAAATATCATGTTTTAAGTCCAGAAAAATACAGAATTCTGAAGTTAAAAAAAAAAGACAAATTTCAAAGCCAGAAAAAACAAAAGATTCAACACCTGATAGGATGGATATATTTTCTAATCAAATTTCAAAACAAAATCTAAAACACTTTACATTACCTTTTAAGATTAGTGGAAAATTAAAAAATCCCCACAGCTTGGTCCCCTGTTGCAAAGCTCCAAATCATCAGATGGATGAGAGAAAGATGAGTGCAAGGCCCTTTGTAAACCAAAACTATGATCTCATACAATTTTCAAAAGCGAAAATGCTGATTAAAGAAATATGGTAGTACCCATCAATCTGCTAGAACTGAGGTTATTGAAATTAACAATCATGCAGGTTGTCACTTTCTACGTTGGACTTTGATTATGAACCAAATAAAATATGTATACCAGCAACGACTAAAAAATTGGGGAGAGAGTGATTAAGAAGAAAGAGACAGAGAGGAATGGGGGCAAGGGAGAGGACGCAGAGGGTGAGAGAGAGATGACTGAGAGGATTTGGGAGTAGTGGGCAGCTGGAAACAAAGTGAGAGAGAAGAGAATGCGATGTTTGGAGGTATACCTAGGGTATATTACGAAGGGTTTACAAGTAATTTCACAAATGTTATAAAAATTAAATTCATATTCATAAAATTTCGATAAGGCTTGCGAGCACTCGAGCTTATCAATTTGGAGCTCGAGCTCAACCCAACTTCTTAGTCAACCGCCTCAAACTTGAGCTTGAGCTCAATCTTTATTGAGTTGAACACCTTGCTACTTGCAAGTAGCTCGGTTCGCTTACACCCCTATGCCAAGGTAAATGAGAATGAGGTTTGATATTGTTGAAACTATTATTCTGTTTCTTCTTTTTTCCTTATGGGAAAGTGTTTGATGTGTGGATGGGAAGCATGATTTACTTGAAATTGCATAAAGTTTGAGGCGATGATTGACCAGTTTATGGAAGACCCATTTTTTACCTGATATTCAGCTACATATTTGTGGACTCTGTACATGGCATTTTGGTACTGATTTGGCGTTAATGCTTAATCATATGATAATGAGGCATTGTGGTTTCAATTTATTGATAATGCTTAGTCATGTCTGGATGATTTTTGCAGGTGGGATTGTACTTTCCAGTATGGTAGCTTAGTAGAGGAGGTAGATGGACATACAGCAATACTGTATCACAGGCTTCAGTTAGACTGGTTATCTATGTAATATATTGTTCCAGATATGAACTTGCTTCTCTGACATCTATTGTTTTGAGTATTGTTTTATTTCAATTAAATTGGGTCTAACTTGATGTCAAAGTTTGAAATTGGTGCTTCATTGCAGAGTTAACTAATAGTTTTAAATTTGAGCTGTTTTTGCATGCAAAGGTTGGCTTTTATGTTGCATTGTGGATTTAGGCTTATTTTATAACCTGATCTTTCTATGAGGCACTTTGGTGTGTGCACAAGCCTAAGCATGCTTATAGTCGTGCCGAAAAGGATGTTCTTTTTCCTCCTGCTATCTCACTTTCTAAAAACTTTATCCTCAACTCCTTTTTGTCATTTCTGGCCTTTAAAATGTATTTTTCAGAACTGGAAACTGCAAATTCTGAGTTGAGCTTAATATGCTGGCTGCAATAGTGAGTTTGTCAAAAAACTGGAAATTCTAGCATTTTGTCCCATCGAGCCTGAAGGTTGACTCATAGTAAATAACGAAAGAAAATATACATGAGAGGTAATAATGATGGAAATTTAACTGTAATGTTGGACATAAAACTGTAACCCACTGCTATCTGTTGTCTTATTATGGTGTCTTTGATTCAAGTTAGTTTTACAAGGGTTGTAATTGTCATAAGCATGCCCCTTATTTTTTCCAAATTGATCTTTCCTCCCCTTCTGGGTTTCTGGCTAAGAAAGTCCTTCGACTAGGTCGTCCATGTATGCAATTCATCAGTTCTTTTAGGATTATAACCCAATTGCTACTGTGCTACTGATATTGGCAAGTTTTAACAGCATCAGGGGTATTTTTTTTGGTGGGGGGGGTTACATACCTTAAGTAATGATGGCAAAATTTGCAAAATTAAGCTTCTGTAACTCTTACCAGAAGAAAACTATATGTAAAGTAGAGATGGTATTTCGAATAAAACAGGAAAAGAGCTAGATTTGATCACATTTGAACAAGTTAAATCAGGGGGTGAACTTGGATTTAAGAACATTCTTGTTGTTGGGAATGAGAATTTGTAGTAGTAAGACATGACATGTGTTACAAAAGAAATATCTGTGAAATGTAGATAAATTATGTATAATCAACATTTCATAAAATATTGATATTTTGTCATTATGGGAAATGTCCATTTTGGACATAGAACAATATTAATCCTGAAAAATTTAATCTAAATCAAGGTTCTTTTCTAATAATAAAATATGTGGAGTCAACACTTCATAAAATGCAGATAGTAAGTCCTTATCAGAAATGTTCATTTTGGAAATGGAACAGTGTTGTCAATTGAAGATTTTATTCAGGATAAAAGCTGAATAGCATATAGAACATCATTATAGGGGCACAGAATTCATTATATTTGGTTAAGGACTGTGAACTAATTATTCTTTTGTGTCCCTTCAATTTTTCTTTTTTGCTACACTTACATGATTAGACAAGAAATTCTTGACATTAATTTCACCACTGGATTTCAACTGCAGGTTAGTATGGCCTCGTGACCTTTGTTATGTGCGCTATTGGCGTCGAAATGATGATGGGAGCTATGGTAACAGTGTACAGGATGCTTTGTTGTTTTGTTGGGGGGGGGGTTCTAATTTTCCTTTCCCAAACCAACCACCTTTTCGGCTCTGTGCAGTTGTATTATTTCAATCAAGGCAGCACGAGAATTGTGGCCCACAGCCAGGATTTGTTCGAGCTCATATAGAGAGTAAAATTTTGTCTCCTGCTTTGGTTTTATATGGCATGAAATAACATAATCTGTTGAGGGCTATATGGTACTGAATAACTTAAGCGTTTAATCTATTTAATATGTATCATGAAAAGTCTTCAATGTTCCTTATGTGCGCAGGTGGAGGGTTTAACATCTCCCCTATGAAACCTCATCACGGAAGGCCCAGAACACAGGTGCAGCATCTTACGCAAATTGATCTGAAAGGCTGGGGAGTGAATTACATTTCATCTTTTCAGCAGCATTGTCTGCTTCAAATGTTAAATAGTGTTGCTGGTAAGCTCCTGTGGAAGGGTCCTGCTTATTTGGAAGTGTCATTAGGGCTCTGTTGATGTCTCTAGTCACTATGTTTAGTGTTTCTAATTTCGTTGAGCTTTAGTACACCAGACTTGTGCTTTTCTGTTTCTTTTCATGCTCAGCCACTCTGAAACTTGTATAGAAAAGTTGGATACAACTTTAGTTGCATGTTCATCTATACTTGAAATTGCAGTTCTGGTGATAAACAATTTGTGTTGTGTGGATATACATTTCTAGTCATACTTTTGAGTTCACAGCTTTTCTGGATTCTTGTAATGGTTTCTATCTGGACATTTCTTGTGTTAATTGCATAAATTGAAGTACTTTCACAATCATAAGTTTCTACTTTATTATACCTGTTTGTATACTGATTACATGTAAAGTTAGTGAAGTAGCTCAGCTAACTCTTTATGTGGTCATTCTTCTTGCTTGTTATTTTTTTCCTTGTCTTTTCATCTTGATGTCATATTTTCATCATTTCGAGTGAAATGATGTGTATACATGAAAGTGCCCAATTTTAAGGGTGTGTAGCTACTTATGCATGATACACTGTTTTATCTGATTATTTCTTGGTCAGCCTTCTGTGCCTGAGTTTTAAATAGTTGGAATGTATCTTGTCTCTTATATTGGGTAGTTTCCTGTTTACTCCAGGACTGCGTGAATATTTTTCGCAAAGTGATGAAAGGGCAGCTGCACCAAGGATCCCAGTTATGGTTAACATGACATCAGCTTCTGTTTCCTCAAAGAAGAGCGAAAAGCTCTACGGTTCTTCTGTACATAAACGAAGTATGTCTTTAGATCAAATAACTTCTTCGAATAAGAATGTGTCAATGATGGATGACTATTCTGATGAGGATGAAGATTTTCAAGTGCCTGATCAAGAGGTATAAATTTTTTTTTTTAACACTAGATATATCTGCTTTGTCTTCTTTTATCTTTCTCTAAGTCATGTATGGACAATTTGCAGGTGTTGCCACCCAGTCTTGACAGTGAAGTGAAGAAATCTGGTAACTGATTTTAAGTTTTTATTGTATTACTGTCTTTTAGATCCTTCAATTTTCCAAAAAATGGTTAACAGACGCTAAATTTTCTTTTAATGATTTGAAGCTTCTGAAGAAGAACTAGCAGACAATATTGATTTGTCCATTTTCTCGGGTAACCTCCGGCGTGATGACCATGAAAAAGCTCGTCACTGCTGGAATATATCTGATGGAAACAATTTCAGAGTTCGTAGTAGGACTTTTTGCTATGATAAGTCAAAGGTTTGTAATTTGTTGCTTTTTGTAAATTGTTATCATTAAAATCTGTCATGGGTTGCACTAAAATCCATCTTGGACATATTTAAAGATTCCAGCTGGAAAACATCTTATGGACCTTGTTGCTGTTGATTGGTTCAAAGATTCAAAGCGAATGGACCATGTAGCGAGGCGGCCTGGATGCACAGCACAAGTAAGATTTTTGTAAAATATTCTGTATCTTTGTTTGAATTTTCTTTCCTTAATTAGTTATGTCATTAGTAATATTCATGAATGTGAAGCAAATAGCTTACACCTATATTGGCTGTCTGATACATATAGGATGCATTTAATCAAACTTCATCTCTTGGGTCAACTCTTTGCCTATTATTTGGAAGTTATACAATTTTTACAAGCTTATGCTTGTGAGAACTGTATTTTCTCATTGCTTATTGATACGAGTTTTATCTGGTACATATTTGAGCTACCTGCTTGTTCCTACAATTGCCGCTTGTAGTCTGCTTTTCTTGTTCCCCCGTCTTCATTATTAATCACTCAGAGTCGGCTACAATACACCACAATCATGCTAATCACTAGATTTACATGTGATCTCATTTGCATCATCTTTTTGAATCAATGCCATGGTCATACTGACTATTTTTTGTCCTTTTGGACTCTGCATTAATGCTTTGTTACTGCATCATCAAGAGGAACAACTGTCACAGAAGTTAAGTGTATGACATGAATTTGTTTTATCTTGTTAGTAGGAATCTTGTGTTAGCAACAAACAGTATCCTAGTTTTATCTTGTGCAATCAGCAACAAAGAGTATCCTTCTTTTATCTTGTGCAATCCTGAGAGTTTTATGAAACTGGTCAGCCTAAGTTCTCAGAGGCTTCTAGCTTTTCAGTTTGCTTGGCAATTCTCGCTATCCTGGGCCAAGGTGTAGTTGAGCTTTATACTGATGCTACAGATGGTCAGTGGAATCATTTCAATGCCTATGTTAAGAATGTGGCTTGTTAACCTGATTTAACAGTCCTCTGAACCATGATCATATTCTGAACCCTTTAATGCTAAAAAATATTCAGTATATTATTCCTGAAGTCTTACAAGTGCACGAAGGAATTTAGAACTGAGAACTTGCAAGGAGCTTTCTTTCATAAAACTGGTGCAATTGATTCATGGCCATGCTGCTGGAAATTCGAGATGCATTTTGGTTATCTGATATATGCTGGCTGTGTTCTCCGTTGCCCAAGATCATCTGATTTAGGTTTTCCAAGCTGAAAGTTATTTTCTGGTTTTTTATTTACTGTGGACTCATTTTGAGCTATAAAAGCTAGTCACAGAAGCAACTCTGAAAGGTGCTTTAAAATCAGCTTTTACTTTTTTAACTCTCTGAGAATGTGGTACCCTTCCGATTTTGTAAACATCGTCTTTGAAGAATCTTTTTGGGAAGTGGAATAAAGTTTGCAATTCTCCTATCCAAATGGTTATGCAACATGAAGAGGCACATTCTACAGTATTCGCCATGTCTGAAGTTCATGATTACAGGAACTTTCAAGTACTGATGAAGAGTCGATTATCAAATCCATTTTTAGGAATTTGGGGAAAGGAAATATGTTTTCTAGGTCCAATGTGTCTTCAGAGATTAATAAATTCAAATTATGAAAATACTCTTGCTTGAGTTTCCTGTTTGAATTAACTACAGTTTTGATGCTTGTATCAGTCTAAGTTCCCAGACATTCATGTTCAAAAGCAAGGCTTTTAATTTATGGGTACATCTGTATATCTTTCAGAAAAGCTTTAGTTGTTTAGCTTGTATGTATAACAGTTGTACTAGGCAGGGCGTGTGAAGTTTCTTTATCAAAGCAAACCATTATTATGACAAAACATAAAAGATAACATGGGTGGGGACTGTACATGTGGCCTGTTCATCTGAGTCTTCTTTATAGGACCTTCCTAAGACGCTAAGAATTTAGTATAGTGATTGTTTTCTATATAAGAGCTAACTGTCTGTGGCCCTGAATGCAACTGAAGTGCTGCTAATGTTGTCAAGGCCTCCGAGGTGCCAAAAACCTCTAAACAGGCCAAGTTCATTAAAAACAAAGAATTGAATCATGTCATTGATTAAGAAATTAATAATGGTTTTCATATTTTTCCCCTAGTCTCTTAGCCATTGATTTTCATGTATTTTAGTTTTTGATGTCTTTTTACTCTTTTTGTAGGTTGCCTCTGAGAAAGGACTATTCTCATTGGTGATAAATGTACAAGTAAGTTGGGTAGCCAAATTCAGCTTTTCTGTTGAATATCTTTATATTCATTGTTGGCATAAATTTTGTCTCCTTAAAGGTACCTGGATCAACACACTACAGCATGGTATTCTATTATGTGACAAAGAAATTAATACCTGGTTCTCTTCTGCAACGTTTTGTTGATGGGGATGATGAGTTCCGAAACAGCAGACTGAAGCTTATCCCTTCTGTGCCGAAGGTTCTCTCTCTCTCTCTCTCTCTACAGGCAACCTGAAATGTTCATGCGTCCCAAGCTTCTGTATTTGTAAATATGACAGTTTGAAAGTTGTCTTGATGTTCTTGCACTGTTGCTTGTGTAAAATCATGCTTGTCTCTATTGGTTTTGATAAAAACTTACATTCTAAGTTGCAAAACGTCAGTATATAATTGCTGGCACTCATCTTGGTGTGTGGCATCATAATTTGTTACATTCTAAGTTGCAATATGTCAGTATATAATTGCTGGCACTCATGTTGGTGTGCGGCATCATAATTTGCATTTCTGAGTGTTATGTACAGGACTATTACAGTAACTTGTCATGTCACTATAAACACAACACTTATTCATGTTGACCTACTGAATTGTGTCTTCAATGTCCTTGCATTGTTACAAATAGCTATGCTCTTTGATCTTAAGTGTGATGTCCCTCTTACCTCTCTCTCTCTCTCTCTCTCTCTCTCTCTGTAACTTAAATTGGTTCTCTGGTTCTGCAATAAGCTACAGAACTAGGCATGGTGTTGGAAGCCTAAAGGATGACATAGTAATGTTTACCTTGAAATGACTTTTGCTTGGTATTTTCAGTTTACTTATGTTTCCCTTGCTCATGAATAATTCCCCACTTCTAGGGCTCATGGATTGTGCGTCAAAGTGTTGGAAGCACCCCATGTTTATTAGGGAAGGCTGTTGATTGCAACTATGTTCGTGGCAATAACTACTTAGAAGTAAGCATCAGTTAGCCTCTCTCTCTCTCTCTCTCTCTCTCATATGTTTGTGTGTGCATGTGTGAGTATGTATATAAATATAAGCACACTTAATTCTGTTAATTGTCTAGGCTTAGCAGACAGGATACAACCATTATGGTGTGGCTTACATTTGTGCAGATTGATGTTGATATTGGTTCATCAACTGTTGCAAATGGAGTTTTGGGACTTGTGATTGGCGTAATGACAACATTAGTTGTTGACATGGCTTTTCTAGTACAGGTATCCTATTTAATGAGAGTGCTTTTTCTTTCTGCTTAGTTGAAGTTTTATGTGTGTGTTTGGTCAATAATGTTGTTCAGTTCCAAAAGTGGATCACCATTTGAAAGTTTATTCTTTCTCTATCAAGATTTTTGTTTGTATTCAGGTATTTCTGCCTTTAATATCTCCCAAAAATTATTAAAAGTATTTTGCTGAAACAAATTGATGTTATAACATATTGTTTGGTCGTTGAAATTAAGATTGAAATGGAAGACGATTATGGTCATAGTATTAGTAGCTGTGTAAGGGGTTCAGATTGTGGTTTGATTAGCATTTAAATTGTTTCCCGTGGCACAAAAAGGTCGCAAGTGCCTATCCTTCTATCCTATCTACGTTTGAAGAATATAGAGATGTCTAAGGCAGGGCTGTTAGCGACTCGCATTTAGACAAATCATAATTGAGTCGTGTCAGAAGAACCTGAACCCTAAGAACAACCCATTTGAGTTTCAATTTTGTTATGTGATTACCTATAAACCAACATAGTTTTTTTTTTTTTTTTTTTTTTCTGTGTAACGAAGTATTAGCTAAAAAAATCTATCTGATTTCTTGGATCTAAATAGTATACTTACAAGTTACGTTAGAAGTCAATTGGGTGTATAATATGACTGTCATCTCATTTTATGCTCTTGATCTTGTAGAACGTGCTCCTTGCTTTTCATACATTGTCTCAATTGTATCTTTAAATATAGTATACTTCGAATTAGAAGATTAAGTCAATATCAACACAACATCCAGAATGGTCCACTAATATATAATAGTTCTTTGATTATATAGGAAGAGCCACATATCATGCTTACATGCTAGACATTTAACAAAATAATTAGTCTTTTGAAACGTAATTTGCATAATCAATTGGATAGAAATATCTTTGTTTTGGAAACGCGGAAGGTTTTCATGCCCAATTTAAAAAATTGAGTACCGAGTGCTCGACAAAACTAAAATTTGGTATTTCCGATTCTTGTTTACTTTGAAATCACCAGCATCATGATTAGTGGAAATTTCTGTTATTGGCACCGGCAGGTATGACTTGAATTTCCTTCACTGGGGTCGCTGGTGCACACTAAATATGAAAGTAATATCACATTATTGTTTGCTTTTTCAACCAATGAAATGGATTTTGTGTAAATGGTGGCGCAGGCGAATTCCGCGGAAGAGTTACCAGAGCGGCTTATAGGTGCTGTTCGAGTTTCGCATATAGAATTATCGGCAGCTGTTGTACCAAAGCTAGATCCAGATCCATCAGATTTGCCCAAATCATGATGACCTTTGCAACTTTTACAAAATCATTGATCGGTTATAATCTCATGCATGCTGGCCATTTCTATTGATCAATTTCTTCATGCCTGACATATCTTGAATTTTCATCTATTTCTTCCATTAAAGGTTGTCGTGTCTTCAACATCCTTTTATCTTTTCTCTAATTAAATGAGTCTTTAGGGTAGCAAGATTGTGTCAATATTCTTTTTCCGTTGCGATGTAATCTTTACATCACTTGTAACTCCTGTTGCATATTGGACGAATGAGAAATTCCTTACAGTGATTTTTTGGATATGTTCCCGGGATCATTCACTGGACAGGTATTATTTTAACAGACTACTCAATAAGAAACTGTGGGAAATTTGAAACAACGAAATGAAACATTAGCACTAGTACTTTGAATGCTTTTAAACGTTATGTGTTTTTGGATACAATGTTACATATATATATATATATATATTGTATTTGACATCTGCACTCACTCTTAGGCCTGTCAATCGGGGCTAATGAGCCGGGCTTTGATGAGTTCAAGCTCAGCTCATTTAATTTGAAACATTTTCGGGCTTCGGGCTATGAGTTTCGGGTTCGTAAATGTGAAGCTCATACTCAGCTCACATAATATTCGGGTTGTGAGCCTTAATCGGACTTAGCCCAAGCTCACTTATTACTCCTTAATTTTCTTAATATAATTACTATAACTATTAAGTTGTAAAACTAATTTAACATTTACAAGACTATAATATTAAAACTAAACATGAACAAATAATAGTTCTTAAAAAGTATATAAATCAAAAAAATTTTCAACAATATTTATATTTAATCCCTTTAAAATGCATGAAAAATAGTAATAAAACATGCGATCATAAACCAATACATCTTTAAAAGTTGAAACTTTTTTTTTATAATCTTGTGATTTAAATCCAAATATGCTTGATGATTTTTGTGTTTGTAGACCAAAAAAAAATAACCAATAATATGCCAATACAAAAATTTACTCAACCAATAAGAAAAATTAGAGATTTAGTTATGCATTACTAATATTGGCTCTCAAGAAAGCTCATGAAAGAGTCTTTAGATGTATTTTTGTGTTTTGTAATTTATATATATATTTAGTATTTAGTAAAAATATATTTGGATATATAATTATACATAGTATCAAAATATAAATATTATATATATAGGTAATTAAAGGGCCGGACCTATATCGGGTTTGAGCCTAATAAGGCCCAAGCTCAGCTCACATTTAATTCGGGCCTAATTTTTAGGCTCAAACTCAGACCGGCTCACTAAATGATCGGGCTCATCGGGCTTTTTGTCGGGCCGAACGAGCCGAGCTCGGGCTGGCCCAGCCCCATTGACAGTCCTACTCACTCTCGTTATGTATTAGGGGAGACCTGTCCCATCGTTTAATATTTACTAATAACTAGTGAATTATGGACTCTTATTGATATTCTATAAAAGTATGTAACCTCCAGAAAATGTAATTCGGAAGTTGTTTTAGGGAAGCATGCTGGTAGTTACACATCTTTTAATTTGGAAATGGAATCCCGAATTTGGGGCCTGACAACATGCAATAAAGTTTTCCATGAAACCTTTTAGGGTCTCTAAGTAGCAATGATATTAGGGTAGCTGTAATAAATTGATCTAGTTTCTACTAATTTTATTTATTTTTTTGTTGCTTTCGTCCTAAACCGCTTTAGGTTGCCAGAGAAAACATCAATGAATCACGAGTTGGATTGTCTCTGACTCTTTTGTTTGGATCACAAGCTGGATTGTCTTTGGTTTGGTTCCATTTAAGTGATTCAGTGTCATCAGATCATTTGACCGCAAATATGACTTGTCATTAGTTTTTTGGGTTTATTGCTCATTTAGATTGCTATTTTCTAGAGATTTTTGTAAAAAAATATATTGTATAAATTTAATATATATAAGATAAAAAGGTGATTGGAAGATGAATTCACGAAAAATGAATAAATTTTTGGAAGAGAATGACAATCCAAACAAGATGTGTACATTGCCTAGGAAAAGTTCGTAACCTAGGGTATGTATTTCGCTTTTAATAATAATTTGACCAATTTAATCAATTTTTCTCCTGTGCGCTTTATTCCTTTTTTGTTTTTCTTGAAACATTCGTAAGAAGATCGTATATTTCTTTTTGGCTGCTTCTGCGTCATCCATACAAGCCTACAAATCAAGCCCGGAAAGTTATCAACCCCACGCCCCTCGGCGATATCAGATTGGGCATTTGTATAATTTCAATCGAGTACACGGCAGGTCCTCCTACCCAACACAAAGCAAAAGACAGATAGCTGTATAGCGGACAATTTGCGATACACTACTCTCTAGGGCAACAGACACAGTATCAATCTGTCAAAACCAATAGATATTATAAGTGCTCATATGATCCTTCTCTTCATATCGGTAATCTGCTTAATTCTTCTTGGCTATAGCTTCAAGAAAGGACTTCAAAGCAGCCACTGAACTTGCTGGAAAACCATTCTTGAATCTGCTTCTTACTGCCACTGCTTCCTTGTGAACCTCTTTGTCATCCAGCAGAAGGTCAATACCTCGGATAATGCCATCCTTTTTGACCATTTCTTTTGGATCTTCACCGGTCATCAACATATGCCCCGCCTTCAAGTGTTTTACTACCAATTTGGCATTATGAAATTGGTCACCCCTGATTGGCCAAGCCAAAATTGGGACTCCCCGGGCAATGGATTCCACTGTAGAATTCCATCCACAGTGAGACAAAAATCCACCAAGAGATGGATGGCTCAAAATTAGCAGCTGTGGTGCCCATCCATTTATCACCAATCCTCCGTCACCGACCTTCTCTTCCAACCCATGTGGGTAGAAACCTTCTTCTTTAGTTTGAGAACGGGATTCATCACCCATAAAACCAGGTGGTGGACCGGCTCTTCCCGAATTCGGTTGAATCACCCATATAAACGGTCGGTTCAACTCCCCTAATGCACTGGCTAATTCCGCGCATTCCTCCAAGTTAGGCCCAACTTCACTACCAAATGACACGTAAATCACGGACCGATGTGGTTTCGAATCCATCCATTGAACCACCTGGTCTTCTGTATAATTCGATTCCCGATTTGATCTAAATTCGCCGTCATGTAAAATTGAACCGCTTGATTTCCAGTACTTTTCAGGCAAGAGCGGGCCCACGCCGTAGACCGGTTTATCAATCTGATCTGCAAGATACTTGATAAACGGCTGTTCCAGATCATTACATGTATTGAACAACAACGCGGACGAACCCTCCACCTCATCTAACCATCTCGGTCTACTCCCGGCCCCAGGAGGACCGAATTTCATCCCACTAGGCGGTCCATTCCCTCCATCTGGTCTGCCAAATCTCCTCCAACCCGGTGGTCCATTCGGTCCATCCGTTGCTGGCCCAGCTACATTTCCACCACGTCTATGTGGCCCATGATGCTCCTGCCTTTTGAGATCCGAATAACTCAGCTCCATGTCTTCCGGTAACCCATCAAACTTTCGGATCTCACCTGGTTTCATATCACCCACCTGAGCCTTCCAAGCAGCATATTCCATAGCAGCAGAGCAAGCACCAGAAGTAAGAAAAGAAACTGCCGGTATCTCAAACTTCACAAAAAACTCTTTGCTCCAGCTCATCATCACATCAAGCACAGCACAAACGGGTCGGGTCTGACCCAACTCCCCACACTTTTGAGAAAGGTATGCTTCAAGTCCACTTCCCATTTGCTGATGGTGGTGGCGAAGTGGGCCGGGTCCTGGCCCAAATCCGGGTCCGGGTCTCGATCCATCTAGCATTTCAGGCAGTAAAGCTGCTGGTGGTGGTATCATCTCCGGTGGTGATGGCTGCACAGGAGGATGTGGTGGTGATGATGAAGGTGAGTTGGGAATTTCAACCACTTCAACCAAAGAAAGTCCCCTGAGAGAGGAGGGAACAGATGAAGATAGATGAGAAGGGATGATGAGGATGGCTTTGTAGTTATCAGATGAGAAATGCTTGCATAACTCCATGCATGGGAAAAGATGGCCTTGCCCAAAAAATGGTACAACCAAAACTTCTCCTCTAGCTTCCATCTTAGCAACTTCCTCCAAATATGCTTATGTTAAATCTTCAACCTGCACAGATTTCATATTGTTTTTGGGTATTTATAGGACACAAGGAGGACGCGGAAACTTGAAGCCAAAGCAAAGGATAACAAATTTTAGGACTCATACGTTTTCTTACAGTTAGTGTACTTAGGTTTGACTGTTTGGTTGGAAAAAGATGCAACATTAGTGTAGTATTTTGGAGGATTTATCGTTACGTTTTAGCAAAAAAAAAATTGACAGTGACAAGCATATACATACAAGTGCTAACTGTGAACAGGCGATTGATATAGTAGTAATTTATATAGATTACGAATTAGATTAAAATTAACAAGGCAACGGCACTGCTTTTACATTTTTCAATGGCTAGGGAGGTTGATAATTTGATATTTTTCTTTTTTTAAAAGATAAGGAAGATAAAGGGAGGTAATCAGGAAAAAGTTGCTCTAAGGCTTGTGGATAATTTTTTCTGCTGTAAACAACCATTTGAAATAGAATTTTGTTTATATATACTGATACTGTATATATTATCACCGTTAAATTCATGACACATATGTAAAAATTGGATTTTAAATTCAAATTTTGCATAATTGTCCTTCATTCAAAATTAACAGTAAATATACTGCTAATGTAGGAAAGATTAATCTTTTTTTTTTTTTTTGAGAAAAAAATAGGACTGTATTAGCGGATAGTCCCTATATTTTAGACCATGATTTATCACAATTTCATGAAGCTCACGCGTGCACGTGCTCTATTTTAGTTTTCAAGCTACCGGTCCAATAAGTTGGGAGACTTTGCGTTTCCTGGATGATCCAGGACAATCCCAGAGTCTTAGTTGCTAAGCAAAAACCGACACGGACAAGATCCAAATTGAATTGACGATGGTCGGTGTCGGGAATTCACATGGGCAATACACTGCTAAGTAATAGCACAATGGAAAGTTGCGTAAGCACACACGTCATGAGTGAAGGGGTGAGGGCCAAGGCAACTGATTGTTTTTCAGTCAACGCGTCTACGCAATCTTGCATTTGCAGCACTCAAAAGATGTCCGGCTACTTTCATCAATTGTAACGAAGGAGCATCAAACCAACTTTTTTGCCTTATGCAAGTTTGCCACTAAAAGGGCTTTAGATCATTTTTTG